TTTTTATACTTTCTGGACAGACTAGTGGACACAGAATGCTATGGTCTGAATGTAAATGACCCAAGTTGTGTTACTGTATACATATATCTCAATCAAAATTGTCTAAACTGAGAATACAATGTGAAACTGATTTGCAGCTTGAGTTAACAGCCCTATTAATTCCCCAACCAGTCATAAAATTTAATTTTCTACCTGGATTGAAACCTTTGCATATTCTGCTGAAGGCTGACACCAGGAAAATTCAAACAGTGCAGCTGTCCAACAACATTCATGTATATTCTCAGAATGACCTTACTGTGCAGATTAGTTAGATGGAGTCAATGACCAAATAAGAAGCACAAAATAGCTATCATCTTCTATGTTGGGTGACTTATGAAAGAATGAAAACCCTCAAAAGTGGAAGATGCTGAAACAGATGCTTGCATGGATGAACACTGTCAACTACTGAACACAAGTTGTCCCAATGTTGTGTGTTTGGCATCAAATATATGTGGCATTGGGACAAAAACTATATGACAATGAATGTATGGATATACTGCAATTATTCAAAAAACCAATATTTCCCACACTTTCATATCATTTTCCACCAGAAATCTGGATAACTGCACATGTACATTAGACACTTTTTGAAGCTTTTCTTGAACCAGTAACGTGTGGGTGTGCAAGACAATGCAGAAATGCTACTTTAAAAGGAGATTACAGTGCATCTCAGACTACAGTTCTAATGCAGAAAACTGCTGTAACTCAATAGGCCAGTATATATTGATATGGCTATGATTCAGATTTTCATTTACAAGAAAATACTGAAACTTATTCCAAAACCATAGAATATCATTGGATATCCTATAAAAGTTTCCAAGTCTGTTTGCCAAAAGATGTTTAAAAATAAAACCCATAATTTTGTTTAAAGAAACATGACTATTTGTGTTACGTTTTCTTTTACTCTTATGTGTAAAACAACAACAAAAATAAGAAACTCTATAAGCCAAATGCTTTCAAAAGGTAGAAATTTAGTCAGGGAATTCCAGTTTGCCCCTGATGAAAAAAGGTCTACTTTTAGAAAGTGTTCAGGTTATAGTTTTTTTTTCTCATTTTCCTAAAATCACAAATGTGTAAAACAATGTGTTATTCTTTCATACAGCAGAAAGAATAGAACACATTTATCAAACATTATATTTATCAAGTGAGGTACAGTAAATGAAAAAACACATGAAAAGTCAGTTTCATTCACCTGGATCTTGGTTGACCTTTAAATGACCTTAAACATCAAAATACAGATAGGCATCCACCCATATGCTGATTATCATCCAATGTGGAGTTAATTAAGTAAGGCTTACAACTTTTTACAAAATGTGCCATCACAACATTTTCTAGCTGTCTTTTCTGGTTATGTCTGGTCTACTAAAAAGCACTACAAGTTTATCTTAAACTGAAGGACTTCATTCACATTACTTGCTAACAATCACAAGTCAGCATCACTACAAGTCTTTCTTCAACCAAAGAACCTGATACACATTGATTCCCAATAATTACAAGTCAGCATCACTGCTAGTCTTTTTTCAACCAAAAACTTGATGCACATTGATTCCCAATAATCACAAGTCAGCATCACTGCAAGTCTTTCTTCAACCAAAGAACCTGATACACATTGATTCCCAATAATCACAAGTCAGCATCACTGCTAGTCTTTTTTCAACCAAAAACTTGATGCACATTGATTCCCAATAATCACAAGTCAGCATCACTGCAAGTCTTTCTTCAACCAAAGAACCTGATACACATTGATTCCCAATAATCACAAGTCAGCATCACTGCTAGTCTTTTTTCAACCAAAAACTTGATGCACATTGATTCCCAATAATCACAAGTCAGCATCACTGCAAGTCTTTCTTCAACCAAAGAACCTGATACACATTGATTCCCAATAATCACAAGTCAGCATCACTGCTAGTCTTTTTTCAACCAAAAACTTGATGCACATTGATTC